TCTTAGTTTATAAAATCTCCAGGCCATTTGGACAGTATTTAATCATTTACTTGTATATTCTGACATGCTAGCTTTGATATGTTTTTGGTCTCACCTTGAACCCAGATTTTTTTATTTTTTTAACGCCAGGTGGTCTCCCTTCCAAGCACTAACCAGACCGGATCCTGCTTTAGCTTCTAAGATCAGACGAGGTCGGGCATGTTCAGAGTGGCATGGCCATAGAAGACCAGTTCATTTTAGAAAGCCTACAGATTTGTAAGGTATCAGAGAGCAGAGCTCTGAGCAGTGTAGTCTTAGTCTGCAGGTAGAATGTTAAGCAATGTGATTTCTGTTTGTTACATTGTATTTTGCGCAACAAAACACATTGCTTTCTTTATCTAAACAAAAATAAATTACTTTCACCTTTTTGACCAGGATGAAGTGTGGTAGGTAGTATTTTGAAGTTTATTGACCAAGGGTACTTACTATGCCACTGGCATTTAAACGTCAGCCAGTCTTTTCTGGAGGGGGGCGGGATAGGAAACACTCAAAGCCTTATCTGTAATTGCCTTCTTAAACAGTTAACGCTGCCAGTAAAAATTTTATTTTCTTTGTTTTTGGTGTGGTAGTAAATAGCTCTGTACGAATTTGTAATCTGCTTTTTCCCTTTTAAAAAAGGTATGGTCAAAAGTAGTCTTTTTAACAGTGTTTTTGTGAGGCATTGCTATTTGGGCATTTTTACCTAAGTCTTGCTGTCCTAAAACGAAACTTCGTTTTACTTTTAAACTACAAGCAATCAATAGTGATACATTTCCAGCAGTATAGATCTGAAATAAAAGTAACTGCTTCCCCTTCCTCTTATGAACAGCTGTGAAACTTATGGGTTTGTAATACCCTTACCGAGATTCTACATGTTTAGTTTGTTACTTGTCCAGTCTTGGGTATCTTCCTATATTTGAGACATTTAGATCTTTTCTCCTTTATTTTAGCTGCAGAGTATTTTGTTATTTACAGATGTACCAACATTTATTTAGCTTATTCTCCACTGATGTTTAAGTTCAGACAATTCTGCAGTGAATTTTTTTGTGCCTGTATCTTGATGTGAGTGGTAATAAATATTTGTGGAGTCAATTCCTACCAGAGAAATTGCTGGGTCAGTGGGCCTTTAAAAATCTGACGCTTTCTACTTGCCCTCAAAAACAGTGCACTGGCTGTCAGGCCGTGCGTGCCCTGACAGGTCGCTGATGCTGGTGGTACGTAGAATTTTAATCTTGCTAAACTGGTGGGCAAAAACAAGGGGATCTTGTGTATTTCCTGAATTTTGTGTGAAGCTGGACATCAGTCTTTTTACGATGACCATTTTTTCCTGCTAACTGTTGATACAATTTGCCCACTTTTCCGTGTTTTGTTTTTTTTCCCTTATTTATTGGTACGATCTCTCTCTCTCAATCTAGTATTTTAAAATGCTGCATAATATTCAATGTTCTTATAATGCCATGCAAATCATCCTGACACAATACTGCAATTAATTTCATATGTGTATTTTGTTGACTCTGGGTGCCTTCTTTTCTTAGCGTGAATTTCTAGGTATACGATTGGGTAAAAAGTCTGTGAACATCCTGGTATTAACTTTTTCTCTCAATAAGAAGTTACTTATTATTTAATGGGTACTTAAGGTATTTAATGTTTTATTGCATTTAAATGGGTCAGGAACCAAAAGAAAATCAGCTGCGATCCTGCCACGGGAGACCAGCGCCGTCACCGCTCTCTGTGCCAGCTGCCCAGTTTTCTTTCTCTCTTGCATACGTAGCCTGTTGCCCTTTTCCTCAGCGTATGGAAGGAAAATCGTTCAATGTCAATAAATAGAGCTCCGCCACAGCACAAACTGTCCTTTTTTTCCTTTTTTGCTTTTTCATATTAAAATACATGTAATACAAAATTTACCATTGTAACCACAGTTCGGCGGCATTGAGCAAGTTCACAGCCACCACCACTGCCCGTCTCCAGGATTTTCTCATTATTCCAGAGTGAAACTCTAGACCCATCAACACAGCGTAGTTTCTGTGCCTTCAACTGTCCCCTTGTCGTGGACATTTGAGTTGTTTGCAGTTCCCTCCGCTTGCAGTAACAGTTCGTACGTGTTTTTCTTCTTGTCTGATCATTTCCTCATGACAGCAGTTTTTCTAAGAACTTATATCAGGAGATATTGTTCAAGGTGATTCTTAAAATGGGTTTTGGATGTCCTGCTATTTTTCTTTTCCTCCCACAGAAGAACTTATCCTCAATTTTACGATAAAAATTAATGTAACTGGGGTGTGTGTGTGTGTGTGTGTGTGTGTGTGTGTGTGTAAATGTATAGATGTAGTTTATAGAGAATTTGCATTGATATAGCTATTTTGTAAAAAGAAAGATAATTTTATGGAACAGAGAAGTCAAAGACTCTTTCTCCTAAGTCTGATTTTTTCCAACGAGGTCGGGGCTCAGTGACATTGCTCAGTTGGAAGGTTGTAAAGAGGGGTGTGTGTGCAAGATGTGTCACCCCCGTGGGGAAGGGTCCTTGTCTGTGTTCTGTTCTGGTGGAAAATAAATTGAGAAACTACCCTATGTTCCGTTTTGTTTGACTGGTTAGAGATAACGTGTGATTTATGTAACCCGGGGTTTTAATTTTAAAACAATTTGTTAAATGTTAGAATTACAAATTCTTCTAATAAAAGCTTTTGCTTTTTCCTTAGGATTGGCAGCCGCCATTTGCATGTGATGTCGACAAACTTCATTTTACTCCACGTATCCAGAGGCTGAATGAATTGGAGGTAACGTCTTCAACCGCTGCCCTGGTGCCTGTATTCTGTATTCCAGAGGGGCCTTTTTGCAGAGGCTCCGTCACAAACCTAGTGGTTTTAGTGAAGCTAGACTATGGCCAATAATCGATAATCACAGGAAATCAAATGGCAATAAGGCCTTTGCAGCAAACCAGATTTCATTAAAAACACTGGTTTTTGTCACTTATTGTCAGCCTGTTAATTCATTTATTTAAATCTTAAGTTTAGATGACAGCCACTAGAATTTAGGTTTTGGGAGGAATGTACTTTGAGAACTATCTAAAGTAAAAGACTCTTCAGCTCTAATTTTCTTCCAAATATATACTTTCACTTAGACTTAATAACACTTTAATTGCCCAAGAAGGAGTGAGAAATGCAGGGGATTCTCTAGAGAAGAGGTAATGTCTCTCCATTTTCTGTGCTGCTGAAACCCTACAGTACAGGGTGGATAAGGCTTGGGTCACTGACAGGGTTTTGCGGTTCGTGTTTTGCTCATCCGATCGTCATATTGAACCAAACCATCTTTCATTTCTCTGTACCAAGCACACGTCTTGAACGTAAGTCGAACGTGTGTCCACTGTAATTCTGTGGCCGTTGGTGGAAATAGCACCTGGTCCACGTGTTTTCAAGTTGAGCTTGAAAGACAGGAGACGGGCACCAACTGCGGTCTCGGAACATGTTTGGGACCGTCTGCACGTTGATGTCAGTGTGGGTCTTGTGCGAGTTCAAACTAAAACCGTCTTTTTACAAGGAGAGGAAAAGAAAGTGACAAATTTTTTTAATTACTTGTAGGCGGCAGTAATGATCTGTTAAAGGAATAACATTTAAGAGAGTTTTCCTAGTTTTCTGTTATCTTTACATTATCAGGACATTAATATTAATATAGAAACACTATTGTCAACCTGTTTTTAAATTTGTGTTTGAGCAGATAAGATCTGTGCTTCGAAAGAGCAGGCCTTTAAAGTACCCAAATTATAAAAAGGCCGAGGGGGGTGAACAGGAGCTAACTTGTCACAGGGATTTAACCAGTAACAAAACTGTGCTCGCGAGTACTCTGAATCCGAGACATCTCTCTCTCCCGGCGCCCGCTTACGCAATTGGAGGGTTTCCCGAGAGTTTGACTTTTTGCCTGGCACGTGGTACTAAATTTGTGTTGAGTTAATGTGTAATTATTTAACCAGTTTAATTTTTATATTTTTCCAGTTTCTCTATCAAATTCAGAAGTGGCATTGCACTTATATATTCTAAGAACGAAAATACCACACGTTCAGGTAATAGGCAGGAGCTTCAAAATTAGCTGGGTAATATTAAAACTCACTTCTTTATCATTTAGGCTCAAACTCGTGTAAAATTGAATTTCCTGGATCAGATTGCAAAGTACTGGGAGTTGCAGGGAAGTACACTGAAAATTCCGCATGTGGAAAGGAAGATCTTGGACTTGTTTCAGCTTAATAAGGTAAAAAACTAATGGCTACCCTCTCTCACTTAATAACTATTCTGACGGCGCAGATGTGTCTTCTTTGCCTTGAAAAAAAACTTAATTGTATAAAATACGTAAGATGGAATTCTCCATTCAGTTTAATGACTGGCCCTGCTTCTCACATCTGAAAGCCTCATCTGATGAAATATTTTGCTGTCACCTGTTTGTTTTTCTTTCTTTCTTTTTTTGGGTCATTTTAAAACTTTACAATAGTTCTGTAAGTTATTCCATTCTCTTTTATTACAGATGAGACAAGTGAGGCCCAGAGAGAAAGCTGGCCAAGCTAAAAGGCTGTCATAATGCAGCACCTTAGCTTCAGGGCCACTCCAGTCTGAAGCCAGCACCCTTTCCTCCACCCACGCACCTGTCCTTCCTGCTCTTTAGTTTGTGGAGGCTTTTAAGAGTCACCGAGTTGGACCCTTTTTTTAAATTAGAGTTTTCATTGTTAATCTAGTTCTTCCTTCCAGAAAATTTTCACTGCTTTGGGAAACAGGTAGATTTTGCAGGGTGCAAAGTGTTTATGGACCACGCCGTTAGAAGCAGTGTTTAAATTGTCTAGCTTAAAAATAGTAGTGCGTGTATATTTTCTTTTGACCTGGAAAGTGTATTTTTAAAGGATTACCTCAGCCACGAACAGTTCGTTCTTGGAACCACATGTAGGCACGAGGGAATTAGAAGTGGTTTTCATATAGATATTTCTGATTTATTTTCTAATTATCATTTTTTTATTATGCTGACATTGGTTAATGAAATCCAGTAAGTTTCAGGTGTACGATTCCGCAGAAAGGCATACATGTATACGTTGCGTTGTGTTCACCGCCCATAGTTGGATCTCTTTCTGTCACCGCATATTTGACATCTAATTTCTTTTGCCATTTTATTTAACAGTTAGTTGCAGAAGAAGGTGGATTTGCAGTTGTTTGCAAGGATAGAAAATGGACCAAAATTGCCACCAAGATGGGTTTTGCTCCTGGCAAAGCTGTGGGCTCCCATATCCGAGGGCATTACGAGCGAATCCTCAACCCCTACAACCTGTTCCTGTCTGGGGACAGTCTGAGGGTGAGTGCGGGCCAGCCTTTCCCCGTCGCATGTCACTGCTTGTTCAGGGGGAGTGAAAAGCCTTGATGATGTGTGAGAAAACTTTGTGTGATGAAGCTGTTGACAGAACCTTGTCTTTGACTTTTTTTGCCAGTGTTGTTTTTTTCTGTTTTGAGAGCAGCCATATTTGGAAGTTCGTTTTGGGGGTGGATAAGGTCGTAGAGGAAACAGACTTTTGCTGTCACAAGCCGGAATCCATTAACTTCTCTCTGTGGATGTCCCTTCCTTGCAGCGAGGAGTCGATCCTTGTCTGCTTGTTGTGGCTCGCGCTTCTGCACTCGCTCGCTCCTTGATGTAGTCCGAGCGGGCAGCGTGTGAAACAGCTCGCCTACCTGTTCTCTCCTGCCCGCTGAGATCCCCAAGGCGATTTCAGATAGGACGCTGGTAAAGGGTCGGGGACCAGGTGATCCTTCCTGTTTAGCTCGCGGGTCCCTCCTCTAATTGTTTCTTTGTAGCCAGCCACGTTTGTTTCCTTACAAAGATGGTATTTGCCAAATTATTTAGATAAAAACTTCTGTTCTAATTAAAGTGTTATAGAAACTTCCCACTTACTTCAAGGCCCTGGTAGGAAAAGAGTGTCATGACCCATTTACACCCTTCGAGTTACTCTCAGAGCAGTGAGCTCTGATTTTCAGAACTTTTACTGTGCCGTAGAGAGGCAGCGAGGTAATGGTGTAGGTTCAGGGATCGACCAGTAATCAGACCTGTCTCGATACCGACGTATACCGTCTGCACTGCTTAAACCTGTCGACCTCCGCCGTGGCGTGCCTTCCCCGCTCTCGACTCCAGGTGAGCTCGCTTTTCAGCCAGGAAGAACATGCCCCTCCGATGCTGTGAGTGAGGGGAATGGGAGCATCCGCCTGCCTCACCGGCTGCAGCGTTCTAGAAACATCTGCCCTTACAGAGGCAGCTGTTGTCGTAGCTGAGGACACATAAGCACTCAGCCGAGTGAGGAACGGGTGTTTAAGGGACCCTTCACGGACGTGTCTGCAACACAGGTCAATGTTGAGGGGCCTCCTGTATGCCCGGTATATTCTGGGCACTGATACATGTTCACTGTAGAAAATTTAAAAACAAAGGAAAGTATAGTGACGAGAAAATCACTCCTAATCCTCTCACCTGCTCCCCTTCGCCCCCCAGGCTTTTTTTGTGCACATGCAGAAAAACGGAATGTGTTCTTCGTCCACGTGTTGTGTCCTTTTCTGTTCTCTTAACATATCACGAGCGTTTGCCAGGTCACTGAATGTTTTCGAAGATAGTTTTCAATGACTCCATGGCATTCCACTTGCATAGCCGGGTCTCCATTTGATTTCCCCTATGAATATTTAGGTTGGCTCTAATTTTTATAATAATGCCGTGGTGGGCATTTTTTGTACATAAATTTTTATGTTCGTTTCTGATTTTTGAAAATTCTTAGAGGAAAGGTGAATTGGAATACACATATTTTTGAAGAGTGGAAAATAACAGTGAGCTGTCACTATACCTCTGTTAGAACAGCCAAAGTCCAGACGCCGACGACACGGGTGCTGGGAGGGTGTGGAGCAGCAGGAGCTCCCACCACTGCTGGTGGCGCAGATGGTGCAGATGGTGCAGATGGTGCAGATGGTGCAGCCCCTTAGGAAGACAGCTGGAGGTTTGCTAGAAAAGGAAACATACTCAATTGCGTGCCCTGGTGTCTACCCCAAGGAGTTGGAAACTCAGGTTAACACAAAAGCCTGCATGAGGCTGTTTATAGCAGGTCCGTTATTCAGTAGCTGAACGGATAAACTGGTGCCTTCAGACAATGGGGTGTTACTCAGCACTAGAAAGAAGGGAGCCGGCAAGCCATGCAGAGACAGGGAGGAACTTGAAGTGCACATCAAAAGTGATCGAAGCCAGTGCGAAAGGCGACACATCATGTGCGGTTCTAATTCTGTGACATTCTGGAAAGGGAAAAACTGTGGAGACAGGAAAAAGATGAGGATTGCCGGGGCGGGGCTGGGAGAGAAGGGTGAGTAGGAGCGGGGAGGACATTTAGGGCAGTGGAACGACCGACTGGATGACATCGCGATGGTGGACACAGGTCCTGTCACGTTTGTCCAAACCCGTAGAATGCGCAACACCAGGAGTGAGCCCTGACGTCAGCTACAGACTGAGTGAAGGTGACGTGTGCATGTGGGTCTGTCACTTGGAGCAAATGCACCACTGCTGTGGTTGGGGGGGCGTCGGTAGTGGGTGAAGCTGTGCACGTGTGGGGGCAGGGAGCACGTGGGGACTCTCAGCTGCTATAAACCTGAAACTGCTCTAAAAACTAAAGTCTTGACATTAAGAAATAAAATGATGCACGATGAACGACTTGTGGAGACGGGCGAACTACGCACAAGCTCTGCGGAGCTGGAGGCGAGCGAAGCGGCGTGCGGTGTACAGCATCGAGGCCCGTGGTGCGGCCCCGCGTTTTCAGGCGGCGTAAGGGGTTGCTCCATGTCTGTAGGGTGCTGTCATTACGGCGTGGTGATAGCGGTGAACTTCAGTCCCAGTTTCTCAAAGGGTTAACATTCGAGAGTCTGCATGTGATAGCATTACACATAAAGCAAACTTCAGGTGTGTTTTCGATTGTGGTTTGGAATAAAATAATCAGCCTCTTCATATCTATGTCCTAAAAAGCTTCTGAGCTTGATTTCACCTTACGTCTCTAAAGTCCTCATAAAACCCAGCAGACCATAGATTGTGGGACCATTTAGACTAATGGTAGATAGGGCTACGTATGTAATGTTGGAATTTCTGGCCACCCACTTAATAAAATTTCTGTGATTCAGCTCAGTTGTGTCTCTACAATCACATACTTCTAGGTCTCAAATAGAAAGTTCATATAGTACTTAGAAAAGGTTAATTTAGGTGACAAACAGGTTTTATTCCCATTCGCCATGCAAGCTTCCGCTAAGCGCACCCTGAATGCTCACTAGAGAACGTGGTACAGAGTGGAGGGCAATATTCAACACCAAATTAACACTTCCAGATCTTTCTATGCGTGGGTTTAATTAGAACGATCGGGAAGTGTAATATTTATAGGTGGTTGAACCAGTGGTCAGCGTAGTAATTGTTTAGAGAATTAGTCTGTAGCAGTACAGTGTTTTTTATAGCACGTCGTATTTCGTAAACGTTAGACGTCGATTTTGTTAGGACAGTTGCTGGTTAGGTGCTTTCGGTTCTTCTGCCGCCCTCGGGTTCTTCCTGCGCACGTACGGCGGGGGAGCCAGGTGTGTTGGTGAGACTGGCGGTAACGATGCTGGGAGGGGCTGCTGCAGTGTATCTTATTCCAAGTATAGATGATGTAAGTGTGAGATACCTCTAAGTGGGAACATTTTGGAACCTGCTTTTTTGAAAAGTGCTGCTTTGTGACGTTCGTGGGTTTGCTCATGAAGGGGTGGACGTCGATACTAGATTTAGTGGTAGTCATTTGAAGTCACTGTGTTTTGTACTGGCATTAAACACCCTCTCTCGACGAGTTTAGAATCAAACTAAAAAGAACAACGAGCAAGATGAGGCTCTCGTCTGATCGAAGCCAGAGTGGTTGCTGTGGGCCCCCTTCCCCGGCGACAGCCTGGCCTTGCGAGTGAGACTTCGTGGGAAGCCCGCACCAGGGAGAGCACTCGAGTCAGGCGACCTGTTTTCTCAGTTCGGATGATCCCTTTCGCTAATAGAGCGTTGCGACTTAAACTACAGGATTGCACAGTTTAGAAAATCTGTTGGATTCTGTATTGACCTGAACACTTTAAAAACGAGATATTTTGAATATGGAAAGTTACTTCGGAAACTTTTAGGGCCCTTTGCGACGGCTGGGGCTTCGGTGGTTGGTGGTTGCAGCTGGCTCGTCGGCAGTGCCTTGCGCCCACTGTGGCCTCTTACGACTGATGACGTTAACAGATGACTCGAAGCACCGCCATGCACTTGTTGAAATTTTTTAAGGTGCCGTGCACGCGTGTATGATTGGCAGCTGCAGGTATTTTTGTTTACGTAGGGTTGAAAGGTTTCAGACCTGTTAACGTATGTATGTAAATAATGTAAAATAATACCTTGCAAAACGTTCCATGAAATTTTCTAAGATTGAAAAAGAGGGGAAATGATTCAGTACAATTGTGTTTTGTTTCTAGTGTCTGCAGAAGCCAAACCTGGCCACAGACACAAAGGACAAGGAGTACAAGCCCCACGACATTCCCCAGAGGCAGTCTGTGCCGCCCTCAGAGACGTGCCCCCCGGCCCGCCGAGCGAAGCGCATGAGGGCGGAGGTGAGCGCCCAGCTCTGCCTGATGCTGGCTTTCTCGGGGTCCCACAGTTGGTGACGCGCACTCGGGGGGCTGTGCTTTCGGGGGTACGGGAGCGAGCTGCAGCAGCCGGCCCGGTAGCAGCCTGGCTTGGTTCGCCTGTCGCCCTCGCAAAGTCGGCCAGTGTTCGCGGGGCGGGAAGCCTAGGAGATGCGAAGCTGGGGCTTCTGTGGGAAAGAACTGTTTCTTGCAAGACAGAGGTTAGAAGGTAGCGAAAGCCGTTTCTCTCAGGCTTCCCGAAAAGGAATATGGAGTCTGTGGGAAACATTCACGCTCAGACAAAATAACTGTGCGACCTGGGCAGGGAGAGCCCCGAGCCCCGAGCCCCAAGCGGGGAAGACGAGGCGAGCTCCGGAGGCGTGACAGACCGTGAGGGTCGTTTGCTGTGAGACTCTTCTGCCGGGAGGCGCCCCGGCCTGGTCCCTCGGAGGCGCGAAGGCTGCGGGAGCCGGGGTCTCGGGGCCAGCGGGCCGGGCTGGAGCTGGATGCCCTGCTGTGGCCGTCTGTGGTTGCTTAGTAATCACTGGTGAGGATGAGGAGAGCCATTTCGTTTCCTGGGGAAATGGGTAAATAAGAATTGTTTCTCACGTAAGTAAACGAGAGACACGGAAAACGTAGTGGCTCCATTTTTCTAAACTGGAGAGTGTCTCTGAATAGGGAAATATGGGTCATTTGAAGCCCATAAGCAGGCTTAAAATTAAAGTTTCATTAGTCAGAGGCAGCTCTTGTTTAAGCACATCTTGATCTGTACATGTGTAAGTCACGCCCCAGTGCTGTGGACGCTGGTGGCGGTGATGTCGCCTGGGAGGGAGGTCCGATTGGACATAAGCACGAACACACACGAAGAAATGGACACTTGGTGTGGTAGACCACAAAGATTGTTTCGCTTTATGATAAGTATTAGCAGTTCAAGAAATAGTGGGTGTGTATCAACTGTAAGGGAAAAATACATTTAAAAAATAATGGCAGCCGAGACTCGCTTACACAGGCCTTCGATGAGAGGGGGATCCTGGACAGTTTAGCCATGTGGCTAACAGTGTAGCGGTTTACTGACAGAATTCACAGCAAACTGTCGTGGAAGCTGAGTTTGCCGTGGGTGCTGGCGGACTTTGGGAGAAGCCAGCAAACTTTTCCAGGCCAGTGGAATTATGCTGTGACCACAGCTGCTAGGGTTGGGGTTTGTGACGACTGAAGAAAGCCTCGGGGTAGAGGGCAGCTGGGAAAGCGAGAGCTGCTTTCAGTTTGGGTTTGTTCCTGATCCGTTCACCTTTCCCTGTGTTCTGACCCATCGAAACGAGAACACCTCTGAGATCCCTCATCTACTCCTTAAGCAGCGGCATCCTTAAGGGTGAGATCTCTCACCAGAGGGGAGAGAGAAGTCTGTTTTGAATGCTCTATTATTAATAAGACAATTTATAGGGTTATAATTGCCGTGAGATTCCATTTGGATTTTAGAAGATTTTTTTTCAGGAGATAATCATGTATATGACAACTTTTTTTAAAGGCCATGAATATTAAAATAGAACCAGAAGAGACAACGGAAGCCAGAACTCATAACCTGAGACGTCGAATGGGTTGCCCAACTCTAAAATGTGAAAATGGTAAGACAGTTCATCCATGAACGGGAAAGCAGGAACAAGTAAATAAAAGTAACTGTTAATTAAGAAAACTTCGGAGCGACCGTCACGTACTAATTCCCGGATCGGGCCTTGAGAAGTAAAATCGCAGTACATTCCCGTCCTCCTCATAGTTCAGTGACCGCGGGGGAGGGAAGCAGATGAGTCTCTGCGTTTCGGAAACGCGATTGGGCTTCTCGGCTCTTACTAGTTGCTGCTTCGAAATGTAGTTCATTGGCATTTGTGGGAAAGAAGTGATTTGCGAAAAGCATAGGTGCCTTTGACTAAATGTCTGATCGATTTATTTTAGCATTTTAGCGTGGTGGGCAGACATACTTTCTGAATCTGAATTCTAGTTGGTAGTTGCTTGCCTGACCTCTGCATGATGCCAGTCATTGGGAGGTAGGTTCGGGGCTCTGTCAGGGAAGCCCTGTGTCCTGCGTAGGTGAGCCACGTACAGATGAAACAGTTAGCGAGCTTGTGGGTGGTGGAAAAGCAGCACAATGTGATGGAAAGTAGGCGGGTTTTTAAAAATACGAACCTGAGTCCTGGCTCAGCCACTCACTAGTTGTGCTCTCTTAGTGATGTTTTTGGAAACGGGTTTGTTGCAGAGGATTAAATACCGCATGGAAAGCGTTTCACACAGTGCCTCCTACAGGCTTCATTAATTGATAGCCAGTGTTTTAGCCAAAAGTCCTGGAACCAGGCAGATGGTGAGGCCAGGCACCTCAGGTCCCGGGAGGTGATCTGTGATGTGGGGGTGTGGTGGGGATCGGCCATCTCAGAGCCAAGAGGAATGTGCTTACTGCCGTACACATCTCAGTCTTACAAAGACTGTGTCTTCAGCTCCTTTTTTAAATGCATACAAACCAGAGGAGCCTCCATCTTGGATTTTAGACGGTGCAAGAGTTTGCATTTTGTCATAAAGTCACCAGCACCAAGCCCTTGGCCATACACGGGAACACTGAGCACTGCTGCTGCCAGTGAAAAGAAATAGGAAGTCACGTTCGTGTCCGGGGTGTGTGTGGAGGGAGGTGACGAGGGCAGGAGGAAGCTGAGGAGACTGGCACAGAGGAAGAGCTAACTGGGGGTGCCTCTCGCAGAGAAAGAAATGAGGAGCGGCATCAAGCAAGAACCCCCGGAGAGGAAAGAGCTCACTGTGGAGAGTGAGAGGGAGAAGCCCAAGAGTCGGCCGAAAAAAACCACCAGTGCTGTGAGTTGACATCTCTCGATACTTTGCCCAGGGGTGTGCTTGCGTGCGCCTTGGCAGTGCTGGCGGGGTGTCCGACAAGGCGGAGACCCTTTCATGTCAGTCCACAGTGTCGATGTGTAAACGGGGACGCGCACGAGCGCGTTACGGGCACAGCAGCGGTGTCCGGGACCCTGAGAGCCGTCCCCCTGGAGCCCAGGTGAGCAGTGAACGGCGCTGCGCTGGGCGGTCTGCGGGGTTGCTGGTCTGTCGCTAGCCCTCCTCCCGGTGAGCCGAGGGCTGGGTCCAAACGCAGGTCGATGTTTCCCAGCCTTGCAGCAGGGAAGGGAAGAGGAGTGGGGGTGGGAGGGAAGGCGAGGCAGGGCCGAGCGCGGGGAGCCTGGGCGTCAGAGGACGTGGGTGCCATGGTCCTCTGCCCCTTCGAGAGCCCAGTGAGTGGCTCGTCAACAGTGCCTTCCATCTTGGAGTTTGACATGACTCCAGTTAAACGTTTTTTTCATAATTATCCCCACACAACCACCAAAAACGTGATCAGAACGTGGCAGAGCCCAGACTTGATTTGCTGCAACAGGACGACTGAGACAGTGGGTTTCGTGGGCCCTCCGCCCTCCGTCTCCGCATCACGTGTCGTTCGTTTGCTGTGGCCACCACGACACAGAGCCACAGCCAGTTTAAATGACGGACGCGTCCCCTCCCCGTTGTGGACGGCAGAGGCCTCGCCCTGGCTGTCGATGGGTCCGTCTTCTCCCTGGGTCTTCCCGCGGCTTCCTCTGAAGTGTCTTTGTCCTGCCCCCCTTTTCTCACAAGCTCCCCAGTCATCTCGGACTAGGGCCACCCACAGTCCTAGGCCGAGGTCCTGGGGTTAAGACTTCCACGTGGATTCTGGGGGGCACAGTCAGCCCCTAACGGGTAATGATGGTGTATTTTCATCACTGTGTATTTGGGGAAGTTCTTAGCTACAGCTCCTTAATTAGACTATGAAGTACGAATGAAATGTGGTTGATTAACAGGTTTTTTTAGCGTTGAATTTTTCCTTTACAAGTTCTGTTTTTGGGTAGGCTGATAGGGTATCACCTAACACGTTACTATTCTTCTAAGCTACTGAAAGCTGGATGTTAAGTAGCAAACTTTAATTGGAACACAACCTCTCGAGAAAGCTTGGGGACGTGGTTTGGGGCTGAGAAATGTGTCACGGGGCACACGGAGCGTGTGTCTCCGCTCGGTGCCCTTGGGGGCGGGCGTTTGCAGTTGAAGACTGGAGAGGCCGCATTATGCCTCAGATCCAGTGCTTCCTTACGGTTTCACAAAGTCAAGTCGGAGCTCATGACCCCTTGTTCTCTACCCATTTTCCATGGCTGCAGGTGGACCTCTATGTCTGCCTCTTGTGTGGCAGTGGCAGTGACGAGGACCGGCTTCTCCTGTGTGATGGATGTGATGACAGTTACCACACCTTTTGCTTGATCCCACCCCTCCACGATGTCCCCAAAGGAGACTGGAGGTGTCCTAAGTGTTTGGCTCAGGTGAGAATTAACGGCAGAGGTGGCATTAGAGAATTTCCTTCGGGAGAATCTTGGCTTCGCCTTTGGGTTTGAAACGTGGCAGTCGGGGATGCTGAGGCCCCTGGAAGAACGGACTGAGGCCAGGAGGCGGCCGTGGGCGGGAGCGCCACAGCCGTGCAGGGAGCCGAGAGGCAGGACAGATTTTAACAGCCACATTTAAATTTCTCTATTGAAAAAAGCATTGTCTGCTCCTTGAATGACTTTAAACATGGAAAGACGACTTCCTAACCCTTGGATAAGCACTTTATTTTGCTGTGCATTCACCCAGACTTTTTTCTGTTTAAATGAATGGCATTTTCCTACGGAAGTAACGTAACTTGCTTTTTGCACGTGTGTAAGTGATGCGCATTCAGACGGAAACGCTTCTCCCCTCCCTGGCAGGAGTGCAGCAAGCCGCAGGAGGCGTTTGGCTTCGAGCAGGCGGCCAGGGGCTACACCCTCCGCACCTTCGGGGAGATGGCGGACGCCTTCAAGTCCGACTACTTCAACATGCCGGTCCACGTACGTGCAGGCCTAGGCCTTGACCCGGGGCTTTCGTAACTGGGAGAAAGGTCTGGAGACAGGTTTGAGTCGGCGCCTAACCGCTGTTAGTCCTCGCTGGGCACAGCGAAAGCTTCGTTTGCCGGTGTCAAAATCCCACCGTACTTTAAGATGCATCGCGGTCTTCCATGCATCGCGGTTTCTGTAGAGATTGGCTTTGCCACGCAGAGTGAGCAGCAACAGTGACACCAGTAAAGGACTCTCGGCCACCCTTTCAGCCCAGTAGACGGAGTTCAAAGAAAACGTCACATGACGTGTCGAATGAGCCCCGTGTGCCAGTCAGTGTGCCGGGTGTTGGGAACACGCTCAGGAACTGTTAGTTTGTCATAAGTTAGGGTTACACTGCGGGGTGAGTTCGTTTTAAATGCCCTGTTACTCACTGAGACGCAGCAAATGAGCACACCAAAATTAGGTGGTTTTCTACTATAATTCTGTGTTTTCCTCACCACTAATGAGGCGCTACTGCAGATGCTTCTTGCGTGTTGATCTTTTTTGAAGTGGGTTTTTTTTCTTGGGCTGGTTGCTGCGTTCCGATGAGAGGGCTCTCCATGTTTTCTCGCCCTGGTCGCTGTGTCTTTGACCCGCCCCCGCCCCCGCCCCCGCGGCATTGAAGTGAACCCGTTTTCTTCTCCCGTCGCTGATGCTAGCTGTTAAGTGACTTCAAGTATTTTTTTAATGAGTTTGTAAATTCAAATTCGATTCCGTTTGACATTAAAGTTCTTTTGACGCCTTGTGCGTTACGTTATTTACCCATGTGTTTGCCTAACCAGTTTTGGGGACTTGTATATGACCTCTCCCACCTGTGGTCAGCTTTTTTTGGACTCTGAGGGACAGGCAGTTAAGCGACGCACTTCTGGACTCGCATCAGCTCAGCCACAGATTCTAGACCCTCGGTCTGGTGGCTCTTGGCAGCAGTGCAGGCTGCTGCAGAGTGACTGGCAGAGTGGCTGCTTTCTCGCTCACATTCTGCACTCTTCCCGCACGGTCACCTGCGTCACTCAGCCAGGTCTAGTGACAGAGTGAGAGGGCGGACGCGGACATGTGTTCGAACGCATCTCAGAGGAGAAGCGTCATTCAGACGCAGCCAGCTGTGGTTACTGAGCGGCAGTCAGCCGAGTTACGTGTCGCGTTTCTCAAAACAGAAAACGTCCCCCGTCGTTGGTGGCAGCGTTCGCCGTCCTTGACTCCCGTCTGTAGTCGTCATTAGGTTTGTGATGGAAAATGCGAACTTCTGATCAGTTCTTACTCTCTTAGTTATTAAATTCCTTTTAGAAAACAGTGTTCATGTTTGAGCTACCTGGAGTCACTTGTGGAATGCCAGGGACACCTTGCTCCGTAGGGCACTGTCCTGTCACTCAGCCTCGGTAGTCAGGCCGCGCACGGGCTGTCGGCGAGCGTCTGGGAAATACCAGGTTTTCTCTTCCTCGTCGCTTTGCTTTCAGATGGTCCCTACGGAGCTGGTGGAGAAAGAATTCTGGCGACTGGTGAGCACCATTGACGAGGATGTCACAGTAGAGTATGGAGCCGACATCGCCTCGAAGGAGTTCGGCAGCGGCTTCCCTGTGCGCGACGGGAAGACGAGGCTGTCCGCCGAGGAGGAGGTGGGCTCCGGCTGGGGGGCGCCTGCGTGCCGAGGGGGGACCACCTCGATCGCACGGGCACAGTGCTGCGTCAGTAACGGCCTTGCACGGAGCACACGGAGCTCGGACCTGAGTCATTTGCCCAGTCGTTCTTTGGTCGGCTCGAAGTGATTTGTCAGTGCTTCGTCCAGTCCTTACTCACCGGGTCTTTAAAGATTTCAAGACAAGTAGGAAAAACTGCAGGAGAATTTTAGCCTCAGCTGTGCCACAGCACTGTGACGACATCAGAAAGTGACTTTCCCCCCTTGGCCTTCAGATTTTCTGACTTGGTTTCTCCTGAAGAAAACCGAGGGACTGGGCCCAGACCTCTGTATGTCTGAACTTTGATACCTGAGGCCCTTAGTTTCCTCACACAAACTCTTAGGAAGGTTTTGGTTCCTGTCCTGGGAGGAAGTCAGGTGTCTTTTGGTAAACTTTTTGAAATCTAACTTGTATGCCGAAAAGTACACAATGTGGATAGCTTGGTGGTTTTCACAAAGTGAGTGCACTCGTGTGCCCAGCACCAGAAGAAGAACGGGGCATCAGCACAGGTCCCCAGAGAGCCCCGTGTCTGCCGTCCCTCGTGTAGGCGGGGGCGGTGGGGGGGGCAAATTCTCACACGACGTGAGCCCGTTTATATAAAGTGTAAAATGGCAAGAGCGAGCCATGGCACCCAAGAGGTCAGCACAGCGGCTTCTCCTGCCTCCACAGTTTTGTTTTGAAGGAGACTCCTTTCATCTGTCTTTTCGAAACAGTCAGAATTCTAAGATATCAGTGTGACGTGGCTAAACCTTTGCACTGTTTCCGCCTCCTTGCTTTCAGGAATATCTCGACAGCGGCTGGAATTTGAACAACATGCCGGTGATGGAGCAGTCTGTCCTCGCCCACATCACTGCCGACATCTGCGGCATGAAACTCCCTTGGCTGTACGTGGGGATGTGCTTCTCTTCCTTCTGTTGGCACATCGAAGACCACTGGAGCTATTCCATCAACTACCTGCACTGGTGAGCAGCTCCTAGGGCCTTGGCTAGTGCGCAGGCTGCGCTGGGAGCCAGGTGTTGGAGCCCAGCCATCACGAAGAGTGATGAGCTGCTTTCTCCTTCAGATGTGTTGCCGCTGTTGGAACAGGCATCCTGACCAGTTACGATAGCAGTTCTTAAGGGTTCCCGGGAAATCTCTGCACCCCCTGAATTGCACATGCACTGTTTTCAGTGTGACGTGTTGCTGGGGGGAGGGTAGGCGGCTTTTTTTACCTAGTTGTCCAAGAAGCCTTTACTTGCAGAAGGATGAAAGGCGTTGGGCCTCGCTGTCCTTTTGGCCAGCCCTTGGGTGGCCGTGGCAACCCGGACTCCCTTTGGAAGAGGAGGGGGGCGGAGGGGCCGCGGTGTCCCCAGGGCCTGGCCTCCCTGCACACGTTACAGTGCCTCATCCTGGCGTGTGAGGTGGGGAGTGGGGGCAGATGTTTAGACTTTAAATTTTTCGGCCGAAGTCATTTTTTTTCACATCCGTTTCCCTTGCTCTCTAAGTAAAAAAAAATATTTGGAGATCTGTGACGCACTGAAATCGTTACACCAGGAATTTGAGGGCGCACTGCGGGAACGGGGGTCGGCACGTGTGTGTAGGGGGCATCGGTTCTGCCTCGTGGGCAGTCGCTCCCAGCTGTACCGTGAGGGTGGTGCTCCCCGGCCTCACAGGGACAGTACAGATGAATCGATGGATCGATGGACAGTGTGCAGCGGTCTGAGGGGTGACAGCCCTTCACACGTGCCGGTTGCCTTCCCGCGTTTGATGGACTCGGCCGGCAGGATGGACAGGGAAAAGGGCAGGAGAGAGTGGCCTCCCCTCAGCAGTTGCTTTGGGAATTGTGCCCGCGTATCCTGCGGCTGAACACGATACCCTATATTCTAGGAAATTTTAGATACCTGCATTTTCCAAAGGGTCAGACAAGGGAGGAGAGGGGCCTCGCGCTTGAAGGGGAAGTGTGTTAGACACCTCCAGACCATTTCTCGTGATGCCGCTTGACCTTGAACGTCCCTGTGTCGTGCTGTCTCGAAGCAGTGTCTGAAGAGTGGGGACCGGGTTGCCGTTCTGTCCGTGTCGATGTTGTAGGCTGATGGTGTGTGGCTTGAAAAAGCTACCGAGTTTCATGTTTACATATTTTTTGAGGTCAGTTTAGATTTATTTTTACAATCTCGTTTCCAGGGGTGAGCCCAAAACCTGGTATGGAGTCCCAGGGTATGCGGCCGAGCAGCTGGAGAGCGTGATGAAGAGGCTGGCCCCGGAGCTCTTCGTGTCCCAGCCGGACCTCCTCCATCAGCTGGTGACCATCATGAACCCCAACACCCTGATGACTCACGAAGTGCCTGTACGTTCCCGGTCAGGCTTCACCCTGGGACTCATGTTCGTGAAGGTGGTTTGGTGGCGTGTTCTCCCTGACATAACGTGGAGTAGGAACTTGGTGCCATGTTGCATTGAGCCGTGCGACGGGGTCCTCAGACACTGCGAGCTAACCTGTCGCAGCTAATAACTGAAGGTTAAGCAGCCATACTTTACAAATAACAAGTGCTTGGTTCTCTCTGTGCTGTGACTTTTGTTTATAATTTGAATCCTTCACTGCAACAGAACAAAAAAAAATAGTAAATATGTTAGTATAAATTACTGTGACAGTAGTTAGGTTCTACTATATGAGATCTAAACTGTAACGTTAGAATTCTTCATATTCTGTTCCTACTTTAAAAAATAACTTACTCAGTCCACATGATCTTAGTTTTGAATGATCAATGAAGTCTGTGCTTGGCGGTCTTGGGGACATTATTCTCCCCCACCCCCACCCCACCCCACCCATCTTGTTTCGAGAATAAATGTAATTTAGCATCTTGAGCTTGGAATTCAGGGTTCCCATTCTAGCCGAAAGGTGCTGTTGGTGACCCTTCCTCTGAGCTTGCTGTGCAGTGACACTTACTTGCACCTGGGCTTTCTTTGGGAGGACACTCTGAAGATGTTTGGGGAGGCCGGATTGAGTGCTATGGAGTGGAAGAGCCCATCCGTTCTAGTTAGTTAAATCGAGGGTAAACGCTACAGAAAGTGAATTTTTTATCTTGCTCTGACCGAAACTTTATGCGGTTGGGTTTATAGGCCAGTAAATTGGGACAGATCAAAAAGACTTTTCTTTAAGAGATCGTAAAATAATCATGGCCACAGCTTAGAAAAGACCACCCTTTTCTTTCTCGCTGTTGGTATTTTTCACATCGACATCATTCCCGCCCCCGCCCCCGCCGCCCCTATGAACTGATCTTTCTGATTTGTTACAAGGAGCTTGCTCTAAGCCAGACCTACTAACTGAGTGAACCACGCACATGGGGTTGGGTTCTGGCCCTGCACGGACAGATGGATGAGCTCAGGCATTTGAGGACTCAGACTTTAGTGGAAAAAGTAGATAAGGGAAAGGCAGTGTGGTTTGACAGTGGCGTCAGGTGGGAGGCTGACCCCTCAACTCTGGAGAATCAGGGCTCAAAATGACATTTGAACCAGGACTCGAAGCTCTGGTAGGGAGTAACATTTGGCAGAGTTGGGGGAGGGAGAAGTGGCCCCTGGGGACGGAGCTGTGCTGGCAGGTGGGCTTGGCCTGTGTGTGTGTCAGAACCCAGAGGGTGTGTTTTGCACGTGGCTGGTGCTGCTGGTTCACGTGTACTCGAGAATTCGCGTTTCTAGCAGGGTCTCAGGTGATTGCTCATGCTGTGGGTCTGAGAGTTGCGTTTTGGAGAATCGCTGATGGTATTTTTATTATGAGAAAGTTAAGTCCAGTCGAGGGTTTATACCCAGAGCAGTGTAGGGTGTTTTGGGGTGAGGGTGATGGGAAAGGGGGATTGTGTGATCAGGTAAGTAAGTTTGGGGTCCAGCCAAGCAGAGTTCTGTGTGGGATGAGAATCTTGACGTAGCGTGGGATTTCTTTAACTGGTGGGTGACCCATTTTGGTATAATGATGCGGGATAGCCTTCATTGTGGCCACATTTAGAAACACGTGCCCCGACCCTGGATGTAGCATGAGCCACGTTCCCTTTTCAGATGTTAATCAAGCCTGCCAGTCTGGGCGCCACTCTGTCTCGCGAGGACAAGGACGGAAGTGGTATCTCTGCGTGTCCTCTGCCATAGTGCTTTGTCGTCGTCGTCTTCTCTGGCCCACTTTTAATTGGCGGAAAGCTACCCCTTCTTTCTGGAGACTCATTTGATAGTCTGTGTCCAGATTGTCTTCCACGAGAATGTCACTAAAAATTTCCAATTCTTTCTCCTTCAGGTTTACCGGACGAACCAGTGTGCTGGGGAGTTTGTGATTACGTTCCCACGAGCCTACCACAGTGGCTTCAATCAAGGCTTTAATTTTGCCGAGGCCGTTAACTTCTGCACTGTTGACTGGGTACGGAATTATGTCTTACGAGCCTTTCCTGCAGAATTGTGTAGAATGTGTAGGTGCTTACGCCTGTTGCTGCTCAGACGGCTGTCTGCAGGTTGTTGACCACCCGTGAGACGAGGCGCTTGCACCATGCCGTAGTCCAGTGCCCTGCTGGCTCTGTGGACGCTTGTGTTTGCTTTGTAGCAAGACTCAACGAAGGAGTCTCGAGTTGCGTTTGGCTACAGCTCAGTATCTCGTCACAAACCAGTAACAGACGGCGTCCGTCTTAGACCTTACGTAGCACTGATTTAAGCTGTCCGCAATAGAGCAAGTTCTGTGGTAACATCAAAAACCAAGAAAGAGAATTTGTACTAGAATGCAGCAATTTTTAATGACACATTTGGTTTCAGTTTATGAAGTGGCATTTTTATATTACTTTTCATTTACCTAAAAGCTGTCTGGTTTAAGTGTGTGGTGTTAAATCTAATGAATTACAACCTGGTGTTTTTCTGTCCCAGTTTTTGGAGCATCGTTGACCCCTGAATTAGGTCAGACACCATTTCAGCACAGTTGCTTCAGGAAATGTTCAAATTCACATTTTCAATTAGATTCCTCCGCATTGCCGTGGACACTAATGCATTACTAATACATCAGGTTTTTTAAACCAGCTTTTAACTAAGGCACCTAATATGCCAGATCTTAGAGAGATGCATTAATAATCTGCCGGCACAGCTCCTTCCCCAGGGGCCACTTCTCCCTCCCCCAACTCTGCCAAAAGATTGGAAAAGGCCCAAGGCCTCTTAGGATCTGCGTTTAGAGTAGATAGACGATATGTGTGACCCAGAATGTGACCTTTAGTGATTCGGTACCGGGGGTCAGAAGTCTTTAAGGACAGGAAGGAGGAAGACGCGTTTCCCATCTGTCTCCGTCTCTCTCCCCACAGCTCCCACTAGGCCGGCAGTGCGTGGAGCATTACCGCCTGCTTCACCGCTATTGTGTGTTTTCCCATGATGAGATGATTTGCAAGATGGCTTCCAAGGCTGACGTACTGGACGTCGTAGTGGCCTCAACAGTTCAGAAGGACATGGCCATCATGATCGAGGACGAGAAAGCTTTAAGAGAAACTGCCCGTAAATTGGTGAGGTTTCTGGAATCCTGGTTGTGTGTTGTTCGGTATTTTTACGTAGCGAAGTTCTTACGCACTTTAATGTTGTTTTAAGAAGTCATTTCTTAGTCTAATTTCTTTTAAGACCATTCTGATAGATGTATATTAATATCTCTTTGTGGTTTTAATTTCCGTTTCTGTAATGGCTAATTACGTGTCATTTGCTGCCTCTGTGTGTTCTCTGGGTGAAGTGTCCCTTCGAGTGTTCTTCCTCGCCCCCTTTTCATTAGGTCGCTGTGAGATTTCTATTTGTTCTGGACAGTCCTATTCCGAGAGGTGTTCTGCAAAGATTTTCTTCCAGTTGGTGGCTGGCCCGTCCTTCGCTTAGCAGTGTCTCGCAAACAGCAGAAGTCTTTATTTTGATGAAGTCCAATATATCAAGTTTTTCCTTTTATGGGCCTTTTGTGTGCTTTTCTTAAGAAATCTTTTACCTAACCCAAAGTCACAAAGATTTTCTTCTATGTAGCCATCCACGTGGTCAAAATGTTAAAATACAGACTAAAAAGAGTAAAACAGAGGACCTTGATGGTTCGTAAACTGACTTCATCAGGTTCCAGCTTTGAAGGCTGGTTTTGGACCCAGTGCCAGAGGAGGGGAAAGTGGGCAATCCTGGCCTCGCGGTGACGAGAGGCGTGTCCTGGGAGGGCGCTCCGGACGCCCGGTGGCTCACGCGGCCTTTCACACTCCCTGGTTCAGGGCTTCGTTTTCTTGACACTTTCATTGAGAACAGCTTTATCACGACTGCAGCCTCTGTCGCACAGATGGTCCGGCCTTTCAGTAACAGTCCTCCTTCAAGCGGCTTCACGCAGAAGGCTCCTAGGCCGCCCAGCGCCGCCCACCCTCTCAGTCCCCGCCCGCCTGGCCGTCTCTCCACTTCCTTTTACTTCTGTTTGTCCCTTTACGGAGTCTCCAGCACTGTTGCTCTGAAGCCCTATGTGCTATTTCTCCTGAGGCGGAAAGTGTATACGTTTCCTTTGCTCTCGTTCATGCCCAGAATATGGACAAGGCCAATTTGGAGTAGAATAAACAGATGATCTTAGTAGTTTAATAGTGCTGTTTGTCACTCTCTTCATTCTCACATCAAAACGGCCAAACAGGGCCTACCTTGTCCAACACCGGGTCCTCCTGGACCAGTGGGGTACTCGACTCCCCACATTTGCTGTCACTGGTGCTTTGACCCCACACAGCTCCGGCCCCGTACTCCCTGTTCCGGTCAGGCTTTTGTCGACTCTCGCATGTTTGTCGCGGGCTGGCGGTCCTGAAGTATGCCTCATTCTAGGGAGTGATTGACTCGGAGAGAATGGATTTTGAGCTGTTGCCAGATGACGAGCGTCAGTGTGTAAAATGCAAAACAACGTGCTTCATGTCCGCCGTCTCCTGCTCCTGCCAGCCGGGCCTGCTTGTGTGCCTGCATCACGTGGGAGAGCTGTGTCCCTGTCCTCCGCATAAATACAAGCTGCGGTGAGTGGGGACAGCGATTTTTTTCCTCCTGTGGGAGGCAGTAAATCTTCAGTGATGTCCTGTGCAAGGCTGAAATACTGAGTGTAAAACATCTGCTTTTCCCCAAAGCCACATGTCTCAGAGCTAAGTCTGCTGTCCTGTGTCCAGGTACAGGTATACCCTGGACGACCTCTACCCCATGATGAACGCCCTGAAGCTTCGCGCAGAATCTTACAACGAATGGGCCTTGAATGTGAATGAAGCTTTGGAGGCAAAGATCAACAAGAAGAAAAGTACGTGGTGTAGACAGCGTGACGTGGGGTTGGGCGAATGGGGACTGGTTGTGACGACGCCACATCCGTCAGCTCCGCCGTCCTGGTCAGGCCTCTGCAGCCAGCCTTGCGGAGCGCCAGCGGGGAAGGTTCGAAGGGAGCACACGAGGCGGGCGCCTTACGTCAGAGCGAAGTCGCGATGTGGGAATCGTGCACGGTCGTGTGCTTCGCAGATCGCATTGTAGGAGGCAGAGCAACCTTTACCCCTCTCCGTCTCTGAAACAACAAGTATTTCACATTTTACGTGGAATCGTAAAACCCCTTTTTAAACTAGATCTCGCAACAGCACGCGTTAGGTGAGGGGTCTGAAGTGCTGGTTTGTCGCTCACTCCTCTAATCGAAGTCAGAGTCTCTGTCCCTCGCCACTACCTTCAAAAGCCACCGGTTCCCGTTCCAAGTCTTCCCACCTGCATTCCTTTCTGGGGCCTGACTGGCCGCTGCCCTCTCTGAGCACGCTGGAGTGGCCTGCCAAGGGCAGGGCACAGTAAGAACCTGCGTTTGCTTTGTTCTGACGCGTAGTTGTTTGTATCTCCAACGCTTTGGTGCTGAAGGGCAGCTCTGGGCCCTTGCTGCAGACGCCACCCTCAGCCCCACCCAGGCACAGGCGCCGACTCCTCCGTGCGCCGCTGCTGCCCTTCTTCTCCGTGGGAGCAGAGGTCGCAGGAGACTCGACTTCTCCTTTTTTTCAGGCCTTGGCAGCTTTAAGTCTTTAATCGAAGAATCTGAAGTGAAGAAATTCCCAGACAACGATCTTCTGCGTCACCTTCGCCTCGTCACGCAGGACGCCGAGAAGTGCGCCTCGGTGGCCCAGCAGCTGCTCACTGGGAAACGGCAGACCAGGTGTGTGGCTCTGGCTGAGGCGGGGCCTCTGGGCTGCGCGAGGCGGCTGCTGTCCCACCGTCTGGGCCCCCGGCGTGCAGGCTGCCGAAGCTTCCCCGGCCCTGTCTCCGCAGGTACCGGTCCGGTGGAGGCAAGTCTCCCAATCAGCTGACAGTGAGTGAGCTCCGGCAGTTTGTGACGCAGCTGCACGCCCTCCCCTGCGTCCTCACTCAGACGCCGCTGCTGAAGGTACCTGCAGGTGTGCGTGAGAGAGCCGCGCAGCAACCCCGGGTTTTGTGAATACGTTCCGTTGACGTGAGGAACTTGTTTTCCGTTTGCACGTTGACTCACAAACATCTTCGGTGACATGGTGAATGGTGTGTGGGTGTGCGTATGAAGAGATCGCAGCAGGTGTACGAAGGAGAGAGAACGTGGGGAATTTGTAATGTCGGACGTGACCACCAGCTGTTCCTTGCGCCAGGTGTAAGGTTGTGCTGCGTCACTGGTTTTAACGGTCAGCTGGCTTACGTCTTGCTGCATCCGTGTCGTTGCTAGAATCGAGTGAGCCGGGACAGGGTCACGTTGAATGTGCGTGGAGGGTTCTAAGTATGAAAGAAGCCAGTCACTGAGAACGCTGTTTTGGTGCCCGCTCGTTCGTAGGGGCTCTTGAGTCGTGTGGAGGACTTTGAGCAGCAGAGCCAGAAGCTGCTCTCAGAGGAGATGCCCAGTGCTGCTGAGCTGCAAGCCTTGCTGGACGTCAGCTTCGAATTTGATGTCGAACTTCCGCAGCTTGCCGAGCTGCGCACCCGTCTGGAGCAGGCCCGCTGGCTGGAGGAGGTGCAGCAAGCCTGCCTGGACCCCGGCTCCCTCACGCTCGATGCCATGAGACGCCTCATCGACCTCGGCGTGGGGCTGGCCCCGCGTTCAGCAGTGGAGAAGGCCATGGCCCGGCTGCAGGAGCTGCTGACGGTGTCTGAGCACTGGGACGACAGAGCCCGGAGCCTCCTGAGAGCCAGGTGAGGGCAGTTGGCAGCCCGGCCCGGGGGGGGACGCAGACGTCACGTCATCACCGCCTCGGCCCACAACAGGCCCTCCGAAGCTGCCACTGTGCATGTGCAGCGCGTGGAGAGGTAGCTGAGATACTTGGAAGTCGGGCAAAAGAACGTTAATTTTTTCTTCCTTTACTGGTAACATGAATGATTCAAATGGATGTGTCTTTTCTGGAGTTTTCTTGACAATGCCATCTTTGAGAGAAGAAAAAAATGTACAAATAAGTGGAACCGTTTCACCCCAGTTAGGGAATGCGAGACCCCAGGGAGTCTTAGAGAGAGACGCATGTGCCGACACACTCTCTTCCGTGACACGAGCCTGGCTGCCCGTCCACGGCACTGCTTGGGGGTCGAGGGCACCTTGTCTGTGCTTGAGAGGTGGCACGGGGCGCAGGCAGCCATCTGAGGGGGACCCGCCCCTCCCTAATCTTGCTGTCCGATCCCCATTGGTCCAGTCGACCACATAAAGCGCGAGGAAATAATCTGCGTTGCACACGGTCTTTACGATCCTAAAACCGGTCACTGAGCAGAGTGCCAAGAGTTTTCGTGCTGTGCTTTTGGTATGTCGGTACCCTAGAGAATTTTACTTTTCTTACTGACACCGTGTGTGCCTTGTCAGTGTGCCCAGTTTGACAGAGCAAACCGCGGATGGGAGCCCGTGGTTATGCCAGTGTGAAGTGAGGCGTGAGTAGGACAGAGGCTTCCCTGGGCCGTCTGCTTTCTCTCAGATGCTCGTGAGCCCCGCACAGCCATTGGAAACTGGTTAACTTGAGATCTAGAAGGGTATTGCCATTTCAAAAAGTTATTTGCCGTACTGAGTTTCCTGTGACGTGATTTTTCTGGTTTGGGAACCCACAAGAAAAAGCGCTCGTGCAGAGTGCTGAGTCGCTCTCCCGGTTCCCTGTCCCAGGCCCCGGCACTCGCTGAGCAGCCTCGCCGCGGCGGTCAAGGAGGTGGAGGAGATCCCCGCCTATCTGCCCAATGGGGCGGCCCTGAAGGACGCGGTGCAGAAAGCCAGGGACTGGCTGAGGGACGTGGAGGCCCTGCAGGTGGGTCAGCGACGTCCCCGCGTGCGTGCGTGCCTGCGTCTGCGGGGAGCAGCGGTCGGCAGGTTGTCAAGGGTAACAGATGGGATCTCACTGCGCAGACTCAGGGTTTTGGCTGGATCGGACTACTGACCCTGCTCTGCCGCGGTTAGATGAACTCGCCCATGGTCGTTGCGACCAGTTGGTGCAGATGCGTAAGGCCTCCCAGGACACGTGAACTGGGGATTGGAGAGAGAAGTGAAGCTGAGCGAGACGTCACGTCTCGTCTTCGATCCGTACGGCTGCCTCTGGTCAGCTCGTCAGTGGCTGGGAGTTTGGGCACTCGAGAGTGGCAGATGCGGAGCTCCAGGTACACGGTTGTGTGGCCCGCGAGGTCTGATTTTTCTTGATTTCTTAGGTTGGCGGACGTGTGCTGGTATTAGACACACTCGTAGAGCTTGTGACGCGAGGCCGATGCATCCCCGTGCATCTGAGTCCCTTACCTAGACTGGAGTCGCTGGTGGCTGAGGTTCAGGCTTGGAGAGAATGTGCTGCTAATACGTTTTTGACGGAGAATTCTCCGTACTCGCTTTTAGAGGTGAGTTTGCAGCCAGCCCGTCACAAAACCCTAATCGCCAAGCTCCGTGAACACGCAGCCCCTCACGCACCGAGGTGGTACCGTGATTGGTCTGTGTTCTGTGAGTTACTTTTTTGAGCAGAGCCAGGGAGATTCTCGTGAGCTTCTAGTGAAACAGCCTTCCCATGTCTTCTGGGTACCCCGGGGGGCAGCATGTTGTGCTTAGCAAGAACTGTCACTGTCGCAGCTCCACGGGCTGGGCTTTGCTGGGGCTTTTGGCCTTGGCTGTGCTCGGCCCCGTGCCCCAGTGAACATGGCGACTCACCCTTGGGGAATGATGCATTTGGCACGTCGTGTGCTTCTGGAAGCTGCTGCTGGTCACGTGTGATGCCTGCAGCAGCCCAGACCACGTTCCTACTTGCCGCGCAGTTGCACCTGGCATCAGAGTCGGTCTCCTGTGAGGGTCCCTCTCCCCCTTGCGTCCTGCCCTCGCAGAGGAGAGGTTTCTGGGGCACGCAGTACGAAATTCCCGTCCTGCCCACTGCTTGGGCCTGAGGTCTGCTTCACCAGTGGCTGTGCCGTGTCCCACTTTAGGTGCTGTGTCCTCGATGCGACATCGGCCTTTTGGGATCGAAGAGGAAGCAGAGGAAGCTGAAGGAGCCCTTGCCGAGCGGAAGGAAGAGAAGCGGCCGGCCGGAGAGCCTGAGCGACTTGGAGCGGGTCCTGGCCGAGAGCAAGGAGCCGGCCGCCGCGGTGCGTGAGGGCTGCTCACCCGCTCTGGGCGGGCGGGTGGGTCTGACCCCGCCCTGGTTACAGGAGTGTCGGGAAGGCAGGCAGAAAATGATTTGCACAGTCCTCAGTTTTACGAAAAAAGACTTTCTGAAAATTGTCGGATGTAAAACTTTTTTTCAATGGAAGATGCAGCGGATTGAGGGCGGGCCTCCTAGCAGTGGTCCCGGCCAGTGCCTTCGGCCTGGTCCAGGGGTGCTGGCCGACTTAAGAGTGGCAGGCGCGTGGACCGGACCTCAGGTCTGGTCTGCATTCAGCAGTCAGCGTGGCTCCCGAGACGACGCCGTCTTCAAGATAAGGCAGTGTCCAGCCAATGTCCGGGAGCTTAGTGTCGGGACAGAGGAGGTAGCTTGTGGTTTGGATGCTTAAAATAATTTTTTAAATTGAGCTGTAACTGACGTGTAACCGTGCGTTAGCGTCGGGGGTGTGACACTGATTCGATGTCCGTGTTCGGTGTGAAGCGATCACCACGGTGAGTCTGGTTAACGCCCCCGCCCCACGTGGTTACAGACGTGTCGCCTTCTGGGGGCCGTTGAGATCCACCCACTTCCCCAGCAGCTTTCGGATACACAGGACTTTCGTGTCAGCCACAGCCCCGCCCCGTGCATCACACCCGGGTCTGGGGGCTTCACCGTGGGCATCTGCCTCCCCCACCCCACCCCCGCCCGCCTCTGGCAGCCACCAGTCCGTCCGTCCTCTGTGCCTCCGCGTTTGGGGTCCGCTCTTTCACGCTCCACACGCAAGGGAGCTCACACCGCCGCTTTCTCGGTCGGACGCTCTGCCCTCGGCGCGGTGCCCTCGGTCCATCCTGTGGCTGCACGTGGCAGGCAGGGTCTTGTCGCGGCTGAGCACTGTCCCGTCGTGGACGTGTGCCACGTTTTCGTTGTCCGTCTTCCGTCGGTGGACGCTTAGGTGGTTTCCACGTCTCGCTGTCGTAAGTAACGCCGCAGTGAACGTGGGGTGCGGATGTCTTTTTGAGTTAGGGTGTTTTGTTTCCTTCAGGTAAATGCCTAGAAGTGGAATTGGTGGATCGTGGGGTGGTTCTGTTTTCCATCTTTGGAGGAAGCTCCGTGTCGTTTTCATAGCGGCTGCACCGGTTCCCCATCCCCCCGGCAGTGCCCGAGGGTTCCCTTTCCTCTGCGTCCTTGCCACCTCTCGTCATTTCGTGTCTTTCTGAGAGCCGTTCTGAGAGGTGCGAGCTGGTACCTGTTAGGCCTGTGTTTCCGACGACGAGTGATGTTTGGTACCTTTCCGTGCACCTGTGAGTCGTCTGTGTGTGTCTCCTCTTTATACTGCTCCAGTCAACGACAGGGAGGCTTTATGGAGGCCCGAGGGCCCAGGGCTTGGGCAGGAGGCTCCCCTGCGTGCCAAGGACGCGGTGGAGGAGCTTCGTCTGACCTTCTCGTGGTGCAGGTTGTTGTTGTGGCCACACATCCTTTGCAGTCGTTCTTCTGCCCGCCAAGGCTCGAGACGCGGCCGGTCCGGTAGGGCACCTCTCTTGTTCTGGGTGTTAGCTGTGACATCCTCTGTGGTGGTCCTGGGCTCGCCTCACGTGTGGCGGTCTTGACTGAGGTCTGGCTGCCTCTCTGTGTCCGCCAGCATCCCCCGGTCCAGGGCGCTGCCTTTTCGCCCGTCAGTTCCCTCCACTGTGCAGAAGCTCATTGGTCAGATGAAGCCACCTGGGTGCTTGAAAGAGCACAGGGCACCGCGCCCGCCGGAGTCCCACACCAGCCTGGCCGCCCGGCCTCTTCCTGTCTGGCTGCCTGGCCTCTGCGGGGAGTGGCGTGGGCCTGCCGGGGTGTGCTGTGTGCTGACACGGCCTTTTTGGGGGCACGTTTGTGTGGTCGGACAGGTTCTAGTTCGCGTCTGCTGCCTGAGTATCAAACTGGCGTCTTTAAAGTGCTGCTTCCGCGGTTTCTGCCTCGTTTCTGTGGCGACTCTGCATTTTGAACTTGGTGTCTGGACTGGGGCCCCTCACTGAAAGACGCGCACGTTCCTGTCGCCTCCACAGGGGACTCTGCACGAGCGATCGAGGCAGTGGGCAGGCCCCGTGTCACCTGTCACTAGCCCACGCGTCTGCCTGTATGTGTTCTGTTTACAGGAACAGGCGGACAAGTTTCGATACACCAGAGGTTTTTGTCACCTGATTTGCTTCTCAGTCTTTCTGTTTCTTCCCTGATCATTCGTACATTTTCTTCTCCATCCGGAAAGACAGAATGGAGGGTTCAGGGGGCCTCAACTTGCAGGGTCACGATGGACCTGGCGAGCAGATGTGATGACTGGAAATGACTCAACCGTGACACAGTCGCGTTGTACCTGTTTATTTTTTAGCAGTGAGGCATATACGTATTGCACTGTGTGTCCATCTCCCATAGTTAGCTTTCTTTGTCACCGCACATTGGACCCCGTCCTGTCCCCCATCCTCCCACCAGGCATTCACATTTTAAGGGCCGGGGAGCAGAGCTTGGGGGAGGAGCCGCTCCTGCGGCCCGTGGGTTTGTTCCTAGGGGTCTGTGCTTCCCCGTCACTCGATCCTTTGTCCGTGGCATGCGGGAGGAGGACTGGCGATCCTGCCCGTGGTCGAGGCCACTGCTGCCACGTTCGAGGGGGTAGTGGCTGCCTGCTGGAGCTCGTGCTCTGAATTTGTCACCTTTAGACGCCGCTTCCACTCCAAGATGTGTGAAGTCTCCATGTGCCCGGACTTCTCATCCGTGCCGGGGTGCCCTGTGTCCAGGCCCCACTCGCAGACAGCTCATAAATGCTGCTCAAGAGTGTTGGGGTCACTGCTGCTTCCCCTGTGACATTGATTTGCTGCGCGTGTCCTCAAGCTGACCGTGCAGGACACCTGAGCTCAGCTCGGGCCTGGGGCTCGGCACTCGTCCTGAGAGAGGGGAGGGAGGGCCACGCGCCTGGGTCTCTGCCCCGGTGACCGCACGTCGGTGCCGCGCCTGTGTGCAGGGTCTGCTGAAGTGGTTTCTGTTCGTTTTCCACAAAGGATCCGGTGTCATTATCTGCAGTTGCTGTGTGTAGCACACGTATGTGGTCTTAGCGTCAGAGACAGTAAGAGATGTGGCCTCCTGTGTGGTGGTGTCTGGGGGACTTTTCCGTCTGAAGTACCTTTTTAGAAGAACACAAAAGCTAATGTTAGTCTGAAAACAGATGGAGGAACTTGGAAGTCAGCGAATGTGGAAAACAGAGCGTGAGGGGCCTGGATGAGCTTCCCGGGCGGTGAGCAAACCGGAGGCTGGAGTCGAAGCGGAGCACGAACAAGTGCTCAGGCTCGGAGTTCGCTGTGTGCCAGGCAGGCTGCGTCCAGTCACGCATCTGTCCAGGCACCGGAGCGGTGGCCCAGAGCCACGTCACACCCGTGGGACCCCAGCCACGGTGGGACGTGTCGCCCAGGGTCACGCGCACGCTCGGTGGGCAGAGCCAGGGTCTGGGTGCAGGGTGCCTTCTCCGGAGCCCGGGAGCAGGCGAGTCCCTGTGACGCTGTCCTCACCCTTCACTCCTTTGCAGATGGCGGCCCTCGGGGAAGCACGCCTTCGGGAGATGGAAGCCCTGCGGGCCCTGAGGCTGGCCAATGAGGGCAAGCTGCTGGCACCCAGCCCGGACATGGAGACGCGGGTCTGCCTGTGTCACAAGGCCCCCGCCGCCCCGATGGTGCAGTGCGAGCTCTGCAGGGACGCTTTCCACACGGGCTGCGTGGCGGCCCCCAGCGCTCCGCACGGCCCGCGGGTCTGGCTCTGTCCCCACTGTCGGCGGTCGGAGAAGCCCCCGCTGGAGAGGGTGCTGCCGCTGCTGGCCTCCCTGCAGCGCATCCGCGTGCGCCTGCCCGAGGGCGACGCGCTGCGGTACGTGATCGAGCGGACCGTGAGCTGGCAGCACAGAGCCCAGCAGCTGCTGGCGTCGGGGGGCCTCCGGCCTGCGCACGACCGCGGGGGCCCGGGCCGGCCACAGAGCCGGGGGCAGGCCTCCGCGGGACAGGCGTCGGACAGCAAGGTGAGCCTGAGCCTTCGCTGCTGGTTGCGGGATCCGCTTCGCTCTGTCCCCTCTCCTGGCGGAGCCTGTTGCTGTGCTGCTGGTCCTGCTGCCCCCCTGCGCCACCAGCGCCCACGTGGCCTGCCGTGTGGTCTCGCCTCTGCGCGGTGGCCGGGGCTGGCTCGTCTCTCGGCCGCTCGTGCCGTTTTCCACGGGCGCGTGTGCACCCAGACACGTTCACCCCGGTGCGCGGGTTCTAACGTTTGCTCGTGTCTGTCTCTCGCCTCCCTCTTACGTCACTCGCTCACGTGAGTCACCGAGCAGGAAAGCGAGGTGCCGTTGGCCTGTCACTGCCCTGTGAGGACTGACAGGTTTGAAGTGTCTGCGTCCTCCATGGCCACGGAGGGAAGAAAGGCAGGGGGCCCGTCCGGGGTGGACAGTCCTGTCCCCTGGGGGAGATGACCGCAGGAGGAGAACATGGCGACGGGAGAAAGTGCAGTCGGGAGGGCAGCGTCCCCCCGGTCCCTCCCCCCGAGGTCCCCTGGCGCCTCAGGACTTCACAGCGACTCCTGCAGCGGGCCAGTCCCAGGTCCCTCGTGCTCCCCAGGGCACAGACACCTGGGTCTGGTGGGCCCTACGGCCCGCAGGTCAGAGGACAAGAACTTGGTCTGTCGTGTTTCTGTCCTCGTTTCGAAGTTTCTTCCCAGGCTCCTGAAACACAATGCCTGGCACTTAGCAGGCGGTCCGTTAAGTCCTGCTGCGTAGGTGAGGTGTGGCCATCTGGGCGCCTGCAGTGGAGACGTTCCTTCACGTAGGACGTGCTGGGCTTTGTCCCTTCCTTGCAGCGAAGGGGCACTGCTGTCATCGTCTGCTGCGTGGGGGGCCGAGGAGTGTTTCTCCTGCTCCTTGAGTGAGCATAAACGTGGGACGGTGGACATGAGTGATGCCTGGCAGCTCCTCAGCCGACTCTTCAGGGTGCTGTCTGCGTCCCTGTGTTCACCTCTGTGAGGAGAATCACAGACGGAATGAAAGGCCGTGTGATCTGTTCTCTGGCAGAGAAAATGGCTCATTTGCCAGTGGTGCTGTCTCCTCTGTGCCGGAGGAGTGGGGCTCAGACCAGAGTCGATGCGGCCAGGTCTCCCAGCTGGAGAAGTCAAGTCTCTTTCTGCTTGTGCTTGCTAACTGCAGCCACTTCCTTTGGGCTGGCGGGAGTTTTGTTTTTTGGGGTTTTTTTTAGGTGAGGCATCCGTTGGTTGACCTCACAGATTATAAGGACCTTGTCAGCTTACAGTCCCTTATTTATTTTACTTTTTACGTCTACAGCACCTGGTTTCCCCAGGCGGTCTCCCATCCCAGTACTAACCAGGCCCGACCCTGCGTAGCTTCTGAGATCAGACGGGCTCGGGCTTCCTCAGGGTGGCCCGGCCGCGGACGACGGTGGGCGAGTTTTGATGCGAGACAAGCCCTCACTGTGAGCTGTTCTCTCTGTCAGGCGCCTCTGCCTCCTGGCACAGCATCTCCTCCCTTGCCCGATGGCCGGGACAGCAGGACCTCGTTGGCACTCTCCCCCTTCGCTGCCGGGCGGAGCTGCGTCCCCCTCCACGGTTCGTGCTTCATCCTGCTTCTCTCTCGAGGGCCGGGCGGCAACCTGCAGCAGATTTTTGTTACGGGGGATCGGTACCATTAGATTAGAAAGGGCTTTCTTGAATGCAGGGAACAGGTTGCCATGTGTTCGCAAGGCAGAGAAGGGCCACGTTTGCAGGTTCGTGGGCGGGAGGTCTGTGTAGCCGTGGCGCTCGGGGTTGAAGGTCAGTCCCCTGCCAGCTGAGTGGCAGAGGCCGAGCTGCAGGCTCCCCCGTTACACCGTTACTTAGACTTGTGGGGCTTCCTCGGGATACACCCCCTTGGCACCTGTGTTCTCTCTGGTCCTTGCCCGTAAACGACCGCCCCAGGGGTTCCGCCTGAAGCTGCGCCTGGAGTCCCGAGGCCCTATTTGTGCCTTGTCACCATCCCAGCGGCCCACACCCTGGGCTGCGGGGCGGAGGTTGCACTCCCCCAGCGTGCAGTGTGGGGCCAGCCCTTCCCTGGTCAGCAGAGGACCGGACGGTCCGGCTTGGGCTCTTGCACTGCGACTTCAGGTGCACGAGGTGAACCAGGCTTCAACCGAGCGTCCCTTGGAGCGAGGCTGCTGGCGGCGCCGGCATGCGTGTCAGGCCGGCAGCTCCGTGACCCGTCTGGTCTTTGGTAGGTGTCAGCGCCGAAGTGAACGAGCTGCTGATGGAAGCACACCTGCTCCAGGTGTCCCTCCCCGAGGTCCACGAGCTCTACCGGACTCTGCTGGCCAGGCCCAGCCCCCCTCCGCGGACGGAGCAGAACTCGCCGGCCAGGCCCGGCAGCGAGAAGGCAAGTCGGGGATGCGGCGCCGGTGGGGTGGGGACTGTGAGCCTCGCTGCCCTGGTCCGCATTCTCAGGCTGCCATCGGGCAGGCAGGTGCTGGACACCTCTGGGCGCACGGCCTGGCTTTCGGTCCTCTTTCCCCAGTTGCTGCGGCTAAGGTGCTTCTGACTGTCCCTGTGTGATGATGGTTAGAAGCAGGATCTTTTTTTTCTGTTAAGAGAAACACTGTAGGGATGAAAATGCAGTTAGACCTGGGGAGGCCTTTTGGGATGACACTTTCAAAAAACAAATTAATTCTCGGAGTTGCCGTGTAACAAGTGCCGTGACTCCTAACCTTAACAAGATGGCTGCCGGGGGGTCTGGGTGGAGCCGACTTGAAGGGGACACTCTAGAGCGCCCTGTTTCTCGGCATTGGGAAAACTCTGCTGCCTCTACCCGTGCATGACCTGGCCGCCTGCAGCCGTGAGGACGGGAGACTCTCAGCAGAGCCCGAGGGCAGGGTCACTGTTCCTACGATGCCGAACAGCGTGGCACCCCGTTGTCTCTGTGGCCGACTGTGGCCAGCTGATGTACCCCGCCTGTCAGGGGCGGGCGTGTGTCCGTGAGGAAGGGAGCTGTGAACTCGATCTTCAGAAGTTTGCAGGTCAAAGGCCAAACGTAAACACCTGGGCTGAAACCAGGCGGTGGCCAGTCTGCCCCTCAGAGACTGGGGAAGAAGCGGCAGGCGCCTCCTGGTGCTGCTCAGCTGCCCGGGGGTGGGGCCCAGCGCTCACATGTCCCTTTGACAGCCTGGCAGGGGGCGTGGTTGTGCCAGGGGACGTGAGCCGCGGTGAGGGTGGCGTTGAGCAGTGTTTTTCCAGGTCGGTGGGGCTCGGCTGGCTCCCCACACGGCCGGGCTAGCGCTCAGCCTCGCTGGGGTCAGCCCCGGGCAGACCGGAGGCTGGCCCTGAGTCTGCCCGCCGTCCCCCCAGCAGGACTGCTGCCGCGGGAAGCGGGACGGGGTCAGCAGCCTGGAGAGGAAGCTGAAGCGACGCCTGGAGAGGGACGGCCACGCCAGCGAGCGATGGGATCGCGTGAGGAAAACGCGGGCCCCCAGGAGGAAGAAAGTGAGACGGAGCCGCCCCGAGGCCACGGACGCTGTCCTGTCGGAGAGCACGCGTGGCTGTGAGCCGGCCCGCACCGGCGGCACGCACCCCCCGCCCTCGGACACGTCCTGCTCCGAGCAGGAGGACTCTGAGGCGGAGGAGGCCATCTGCCCGGCCGTGAGCTGCCTGCAGCCAGAAGGCGACGAGGTCAGTGAGATTTGGGCCGTGGAGGACGCACGTCCCCTAACTCAGGAGCCCCGTGAGCTAGGCCTCGCCTCTGCGCGCTCTGCTTCCCGCTCTGAGCTGATCTGAGCTGATCTGAAGGCCGCTCGCACCCCCCCCCGGCCCCCCACTTCTCCCGCCTCGCGCCTGGGTCTTCTCCCCTGTCTTGAAGAAACTCTTACTCTTCCCTTTTCTCCTTTTCCTGCTCCTCCAGCGTCCACGGCCCGGCGCTAAGAAGGTGGGAGGGATGCCGCTGTAGTGCCCGCTGCTTACCGCAGGGCGGCGCTGTCTCCACCCCAAAGCAGTCGCGCCTTGAAGGACGGCTTTGACGCGTTGCTTTGACTGGCGGGCCAGCTCCACGCATTTGGCTTGGCTGCTGTGCCAGAGATCCCAGTGCTGGGACAGTGGCCGTCAGTGGCAGGCGGCCTGAGTGTCTGGCGGCCGGCCTGCCCAGTTTCGAATCCCGCTTTCCTCTGAAAACCCCGTCTCCCTGCTCTTTGTAACCAGGTGGACTGGGTCCAGTGTGATGGCAGCTGCAACCAGTGGTTTCATCAGGTCTGTGTTGGTGTTTCTCCAGAGATGGCGGAGAAGGAGGACTACGTCTGTGTGCGCTGCACTGTGAGGGACGCACCGAGCCGGAAGTGACCCCCAGACCGACCCCTCACTGTCCTTCCGGACCCCAGCCGAGCTTGTCTCAGTGTCTCAGCAGAGCTGCAGGACTGGGCCAGACCAGCCTGTAAACGGTGCTATTTCTATTCCCGATGGATCGTTTTTCCAGAACTCTTTGAAAAAAAGAAAAAACAACTAAAAAAATTTTTGACACCTTTTGTATTTTTTTCCTTACGAGCTGTTTGTGGTGGTCAAGGTTTGGAATGTGACTCGCGGGGCCCCGCGGTCTGCACGACCCCAGAGCCCGCGGCTTCTCGCGTCCAGCATTAACTCCGGCCTCTGTCTGGGATTTGCCGGCTCACGAGTCCAACTCAGTTTCAGTGCCCAGAGGGCACCAGAAATTCCAGTAAATCCTCATTTGAGGAATTTCTCTCTTGTTTACTCTGTTACCATATTGGGGAACTTAAGTTTTTCACGTTTGGGGGTTTTGTTTTTCTTTACCCACTTTTCTTTTTCCTCGTAGACTAGGTTTATTTATCTAAGCAATAACTTCTATGTTGGTTTCAGTGGCTGGAATTAAAACAGAACAAACTTCCAAACAGTGTGTTGGTGCTTCAGCATCGGGCGGTGTGCAGAACACAGGCGTCTGGTCTCACGCGTCGCCGGCGAGCTGGTGGCGCAGGGGAGGCCTGGTCGGAGTGCTCGCCGCGGCTGTGGCCGGCCTTCTCCCCGGCCCGTCTGCCCTTCCTGTGTTTTTGGTAGCCTGTATCAAGTGTTGTGGTTCACACTGTGAATAAATCCTTGGTCCTAATAGAAAACAAAATGCTGGTTATTTAGAGCCACCAGACTGTAGCCCCCGGGGCTGCGGCGGCCGTGGCCAGTAGCCTGCAGACGCTAGGGCCCGGTTCACCCCGCCCCCGAGTCCTCACGGACTAGAACCCGCCTTGAAAGCCATGCTCCCTCACAGTGCGGGCACACCAGTCCCGGCCTCGCCTCCATCCTCCTGGGAAACGATGGCTTCGTTGCATCCGAGTTGACGGGGAGACGGTTCAGGGTTAAGCGGCAGAAGGGAATCTAAAGGAAGTGTGGGCTGAGGGACCGACAGCTGGGGACACCCGCTCTGCCTTCCCGACCCGGTCCCGCCGTCGCACCTGTGCCGCGGGCAGCCCGTGGCCCCCACCTCTGTCCAGAGGGCTGTGTTTGGCAGTGGAGGGGACACGCTCGCTTCTCCCGTCGCTAATATGCGTCCCTTAATAAAACAAAAACCAAAACAGCGCCTGTGACGTAGCAGAGGCTTAGACGTACCGACCCTTCGCGCGCAGCTCACGCAGTTAAACCCCACGCAGACCCCGCGTCCGCGCCTTGCGCGCGGCTGTGGCGGTCCTCGTGTGGTGGGCTCCAGGGCCAGCGGAGAGAGGTCTCCGCCTCCGCCATGCTACCGGGATAGTGGTTTGGCCTTTTTAAATGTGCAAGTTCTTAGCGGCCCTGAGGTCGGGGCAGGATGCCAGCTGTCCTGTCTCGTCAACACAGTAGCTGAAGAGGGGAAGGGTCCCCGGCTGGCACGTGCCGCCCCCCCCCATGGGCTTCCTCCTCCCCCTGCCGCTTGGCACGGTCCCCAACCGCAGCATCCGCAGTGAGGCGCTCTTCTCCGAGCTAGCGGAAGTGTGCGTTTCAGCCGGCTGCCCCCACGTGAGAACCCCTGGTCTGTGCACGTACGATGGTCTTGAAGCCAGAGCACCGATCGACCCCCTGTTATCCCGCTGGTAAATGGCAGCTTGGGCAGTGTCTTCCAGTCCCCTGCCATACTCCTCCCTACCTGTACATGACACTACAGGCGAATGTGGGCACCTCGACCTTCCAGGCGATGCCTTCTGTTGTGACGATATCTGAGAACTAACTATAGCCAGCCTGAGTCCTGGGGAAGGAAGAGGAAACGCCGCCTGACACTTCTCCACCTTGGTCGTCCTGCGGCTCTGTGAGGAGGGGCAGAGGAAGGGCCGTGTCACAGTGGGGCCCGAGCGGGGAGGGTCGGGGTGAACCCGTACCAATGGGCGAGTGAGGGGGTGGGGCAGGTTCTCACGTAGGACACGGGGCTGGCCGTGTGTGGCCTCCAGCCTGGACAGAGCGTGCCATCGGACTGGCCATGCAGCAGCCAGGCTGCCCTGCAACTTCTTCGCAGCATGCCGGGAGGCGAGATTCTTCTGTCCCAGGTTAGTCTAAAGCCATAGGTGCCACCTGTAGCACGGGTGGCTGGTAGAGTCCAGATTTCCCCACTGCGTTCTGCCACGCAGAGCTCTGGGAACGAGCTGCAAAGTTCCTGAGATTTTGGGTTTCACGTGGCAAAAGTATGAGCTGCACTCGCCATTATGCACGACGTTGGGGTGCTCGTGCAGGATGAGCCCGGCCCCGACCGGCGGGCTGAGACCAGGCGTCTCCCTCCCTGTCCTGCTCCAAAGGCCCCTCCGTAACGGGGTTCCGCCTCGCCGCTTACACTCGATGGGCACTTGGCATTCAGCTGGAGTCAGGCCGGGATTGTATTTGGTGCCCAGGGTGTTTCTGGGCTCCTGCCAGGTTCCCTGCGTGTAACAGACCAGAGTGGGTCACAGATGCCGTGTCCTGCACCGAGGTGGGATGGAATGGCGAGTATTTCGAGTTGTTGCCTGTCGCCATCAGTGACCGACTGCTGGTCTGCTAGGCCTCGGCACGATGACGCAGAAAACACGGTCCCCTTCCATCGAAACTGCCGCTTGGGACGAAGAGCCGAGGGAAGTGGCGAAGATCCCGACGCCGTCACTTGGCGCCACACGGCAGTCGCGTCCCCGTCAGCCCTGGGGGAGCCCCGGCCTGCTGGCCTCACAGCTCTGCCGTCTCCGGCCGTGCACGAGGCTCCGTAGGCCTGAGCGCCTCAGGCACGTGCCAGGAGCTACCCGGACCATGCCCTGTGCAAAGGAACACGTGTCACTGTGTTCAGAGCGCGAAGAAACACCTTGGACAGTGTCTGCTTCACGCCCACGTTTCAGCACCGCTCACGAAGGAACGCGTCTTTGCGTGCTTTCCGGTGTCAGCGGAATGTTTAGAGTCCGCCAACAGCGGACTGGCCATCTGGCTCCCAGTGTCGCTTCTGGGTGAAGGGCCAGGGGAGGTCGAGTTGAGGGGTGTCTGCCGTTGGCAGCAGAGGACGGGACATGCGGGGTCATCCGATCTTCCCCAGGGAGCGGGGGCCACAGGCCGGTTCTTCCTCCGTTCGCTCGGTGAGAAAGTGGAGAAGACACTGCCTTTCTGAGGAAGCAGAGGGACGCGCTCCGGAGTAAACGCCGGAGTCCGGGTGCTGGCGGACCGACCCGACCTGTCTGGCCGTCTGGTGCTGTCCCACTGTCTGGTGCTGTCCCACTGGCGGGTCCTGGTGGGAACCCAGAAGGCCCAATTTCCATCTGACTGGGACAGGCAGGCTGACAGTTATCAATCGAAAGTCCATTGAATGAGGAAAGAGGAACCTTTAAGCTGGCCCGGATCTGCATAGTCACTTAGCTGGCGGGGGAGGGAGCGCTGAGGGGCTGCAGGAGGCGGGGCTTCCACAGTGAGGTGCGTCCGGTGCTCCCGGCTTGCGAGCGCTCCCGGCTCTGGGTTCCTTCGAAGGATCAAGAATTTAGACCTTGCAAAGGAATTTAACTCCTAGGAGTCTCAGGAGTCTATTTACTAGTTTTCTTCACTCTTTTGTAAGAATTTCACCTTTACCTCGTTGAACAGCGGGTGTTTTGAGCACCTCAGTCTGGTCTCAGAGTCTTCATACGCATCGATTTATGTAACAAAACAGACGGACTCCCATGGGAACACATGGCACTCAGCAGGTGTGGGTGGGAGGGAGGCGGCCCAGGTGCTCTGCGGGCCGGGACCGCGGCCGCAGTTCCCAGGACGCGGCTTAGGAGGGCATCCGCTGCGTGCGGTCCCGGCCCAGGTCCAGTCCTGGCAGGCTCCCTGCACCCCTGGGATGCGGCTGCTGTGGGGCTGCTCGAAGCCGCCAGACGGACCTGTGCTGACCCGCCAGCCAGTGACAGCGGACTTCGTCACCTTCTCAACCCTAACCCTGCGTCACTGGAGAGATGCCAGTCAGAGGACGGGTCTGGGCTTGCACCTCATACTTTGTACCTCGGAGGCTGCCTGAGCTGGTGCTGCTGTGTCCGCTGGTTCTGTGGTGGCCCCGGTGCTGGCCACCTCTGTGCCTGCCCACACCCTCTGCCCAGACAGCAAACAGAAGGGGCGGAGGTGGTCGGGGCCACTAGGTCATTTGCTTTTTCTGTGGCCCAGGTTGTGAGGCGCTCTGTTTTCTGGAGACGTATTGAAATCTCGCAGCCTCCACCTCCAGGCTGGAGACGGCCACTGTCATGTGGGCAAAATGCCGCGGCAAGGGCCCTTTTCCCTGAGGGCGCCACGGCGCGTGGCCGACAGTGGACTGGCGCAGGGCTGGCCTCACCAGGCGGCACTGCACCTCGGCGGCCCGGAAGGCTCTCTCAGGTCGCGGAGTCCCCAGCCTGCCGTCGCCTCTGCTTCTGTCCCACGCACGCTCCCCACAACCCTTCCAAGGCCCACGAGAGCCCAAGCAGGGCGGAAGCCTGTCCAGAGGGGCTGGGAAGAGGCCTGGGGGCCAGTGGGGCCTGTGGGAGGCAGGGTGGCGCTCCGCTCAGCAGCCCGCCCTCCACGGAAGTTCTGGCCGCCAGAGGGCGCACTGGGCCCCCAAGTGCCATGTGGCTTCCTGCCAGGACACAGATTAAGAGTGTAGGCAGCTTCAGCGGGTTTAGGAACTACGGCACACCACCTTCCCACCTTGGGCTTCGGATGGGCCAGCTATGGATCCGACGGGGCGCGGGACGTGTGGAGCTTAGTGACAAGGCCCTCGGTGCAGGGGTTAGTTTGAGGAGGGCCACAGGGAAAGGCCAGCCGCAGTCAGGACAGAGCTGTGCTGCTCGCAAGCCTGAGTCGCGGACCCCAGAGCTGCCACCCTGGAGAAGGGGGTCAGGACAGCCTGCGCGAGGGCCTTCTGAGGTCATGAGGTGGGTCCTCGGGGGAGCGGGCGTGGGGACTGGTCATTCTCTGGCCCGGACTGGGCAGGAGGAAGCCGGAAGCGGGGTACGGATAGAGCTTGGGTGAGGCCACACGCCGTGCTGTGAATGTGCACGGGGTACGGATAGAGCGTGGGTGAGGCCACACGCCGTGCTGTGAATGTGCACGGGCCGAGCGTTCCCCACTGTGCTGTGACCTCCGTCACACAGCACTAAGCGCCACACGCGTACGGACTCAGGGCTTCACATACTATTTAATCCCGACACGAGGTGCCATTCCCTGGGGGTGGGGGTGGCTGGCTGGATTCCATGCAGAACTGTGCCCGCGTTAGCTTTGGAATCGAGGTAGGGCGCGTGTCAGCGCTCTGCTCCATGTCCGCCAGGTCCTAAGAGCTCGGAGGGACATTCAGGGCTCCCAAAGGGACAGCTGTGCCCAAGGCTGTGCTTTCTTTGCCCAGGAAGATACTGGCCCATTTTGCAGTCTGAACTGATGGCAACCACATGGCCTTTCTCGCTTCTAATATTAGTCCCCTAACACACTG